TCCCAGGCCCTCCCAGCCTGGGGGCTCTGTGCACCTCCCTCTTCCCTCTTCCTCTCTGCCTGTCCGTCATCTATCATCTCTCCGTCCCATGCACAGCGTGTCGGACCCTTGCTGTGACATGCTGAGAACAACAGGGTAAAATAAGACCCCCTTCAGCAGGCACAGAACCCATGTGCGGTAACCAAGGCCTTGCCAGGTGCCTCTCTGTGTCTTCACAGCCGGCCTTGTCCCCTGTGACCACTGTGGTTCAGAGGGGCGAGCACATGTCCAGGGCGCACACTGCAGGGGTCAGCAGCGACGGCCACCTCATAACTCTCCTGAAGACCACTGCCCAGTGCGGCCCTGCTGAGGCCCAGGCATGAGGTCACTCCTGGGACCTCAGGGTTCTCCCCTAAACCTTCTGCGGGTCACAGCTGGTGGGCTGGGGCTGGCCCCTGACCGAGGCCTGCCAGGGTCTGTGGCTCTCAGCCCTGCCAGTCAGAGGTCCTCTCAGATGGGAGCTGCACGGCCAGCCAGTTAGGGCTCGAGGATGACCATGAGCTGCTGCTTCTGGGTGACCCCGGTGTGGCCTCCAGGGTCTGTTCACTGCACTGCGGATCCCAATGATCACAGCCAGCACCGCACAGGCTGCGCGTCTGAGGACCACAGTGACCGCCAGCCGGCAGACGCTGAGGCTCCCTAGCAGTGGGTCCGCCTGGCAGTGGCCAAAAGACCAGGCAGAAGTGGCACGGGGACCCCAGGGGTCCCGTCTGTCCTTCCAGTCACTGAAAAAGGAGGGTCTGGGAGCCGCTCAGACCCTGGCAGCTCCAGCCCCTGCCTCTGACTGTCCCGGTGCCGGAGGGGAGGCCAGAAAGAAGGAGGCTGCGAGGGCTGCCCGAGGCTGGTGGGGCCACCTGTCCCACAGCCCTGGGATCCGACTGACACCCTCAGCGCCAGAGCTCGGGACCCGTCAAGCAGTTTTCTGTCCCCTCCTGCCTGTGTCCCCTGAGAGCCGCAGGCACCCCGAGGGGTGGGCTGCCCGAGCCGATCATCTCCCAGTCCCCGCGCTTCTCCCACCCCAGCCCGTTGTCTGGGGACAGCCTGAGTGTGTAAGTCTCATCATCGCGTCAGGAGGCTGTCACCAGCCTGCAGGCCCCCGTTAGTGGGCTGTACCTGGAAACCCGCGTCTGTGGAGCTGACCATTTAACCTAATGGAGGCCAAGGCCACGGCCACCACCTGCTCAGGCTGCAGCAGAGTGGATGCTGTGGCGACCGGGGTGGGCTGCTCTGCGGGGGGCTGTAGTCCCTGGGACGGACGGCGAGGCCTGTCCCCCTCCTGGTTTCCCTCTTCCTATTCCAGAACACCGTGGGTCCCCAAATCTGAACGCCATGGAGTCAACCTCAAGCCTTCGTATTCTGAATCTTCTCCCTACAGGTCCTCCGCCAGCTCTGGGGTGCTCAGGGGACGGCAGGTCACCACCTAAGCCTTCAAAGCGTTCCCTTCTGCCACCGCCACCCCTCGTCCAGGCTCTGAGGGCCCCGGGGCTGCAGGGGAGAGCCACGCCCA